CCCCGTCCGATGATACTTGAGAAGATGAGGTGTGGTGCCGTTGTAGGGTTCCAATCGAAGCTGTTGAGTTTGGCGACTGAAGGGGCCGCGATGGTCTGACGATTGGCGACGATAATGGTGATTCAGCGTCTAGCTCCTGTATGTTGGTCTGTCCTCCTTCGTTTACTCTCACGTTTGGTTCACTGCCTCTCACATGCGTCCCTACGACGCTGCCTGTTATCGTTGGAGCATTCGTATATGTGACTTCCGAGAAAAATGTGCCCATCGACGCGGAGTCCGGTTGTGTGTTATCATGCGCTATACGAGCGCCTCGGCTCACCGGAACATCCACCCTAGCCTCTTCGTCCTTGCGACTCCTCTCTGACACTAGGTTATTGGAACGAATGAAGGCTATGAATGAGGTTGCATGGTCCTCTGGCAGGAGATCCCACACCATGACTGGCATAGATAAGAGGAGCAATGTGGAATGACTCTTGAATACCCCCTGGACTTTGACGTACTTTGCCAGGGCTGGGAAGTTGGATAACCACTGCTCCCAGGCGCTCAGATCCAATTGCTGATTGTCTTCCAGTGCCAGCGAGATCATGACATGCGGCGTATCCTCATTCGGCTCCCCTGCCATTGGTGCGCCAGGCCCTCGCCCACCTATCATCCCCTCGGGCGATCCGCTCTCGTCTGCAGTGATCGCGGCATTCAATGGCGGCGATGGCGGCCGCTGCTCAGCCGGCACGACCCGGGACAACTCGATGCTCGGCGCCTTGTGGTTCGACGTCATCATGAAGTGAACTGGCGTCGACCTGGCCTCGAAGACCTTGCCGTTGATGTTGACGGGGCGCGGGTGCTTTAGGCGGGCGAGGACCTCGGCGTGCAGCATGGCCGCGGAAAAGGTGCGGAGCCTCCACTCCTGCATTACCTCAATGAGGGCGTTTGTGAAGGAGTAGCGGCCCGGATCTGGGGCGATGGCGTCCCAGCTCGAGGCGGAGATGGTCTCGGTGATGCTGTTGCCGTTGGGGAACGTTGCGCTCGCCGCTCCCGCGCAGCAGTCGAGGAGGATGAGAACGTCGGATGCCGAGCGCTCTAGCAAGGTCTGAATGGCAGACCACTGGAGCCATGGCGAGTCGGGATGTCGAGTGCTAATGAATTTGTGAGAATATGAGTGATGAAGATGAGATAATGCTGCAGACTTACGCGCACCAAGTGCTCTGACGAGACTCATCTATCCTGGCATGGCCGCCGTAGTAGACTAAAAAGAGCGTGTCTTGAGCCTCGTGGTCCTTGATCAGCTTACCGACCTGCATCATGAGCTCTAAATGTGAGTTCTCGGACGGTATAGGAAATATTTCCGTGCCAAAGGCATAATCCTCGCGGAGGCACCGTTCCAGGTCCTCCAGCTCAGGTAACACAAAAAGGTCATCACAGCCCCAATGCAGGAGCAAGGCCTGCACCTTTGAATACCGCTGTGACGATTTTCCGCGGTTCGGAAATGCTCGGTTTGCAGACTTTGTGGATGAAGTGTCAGTATGTGACCTGGACCACATAACCTAGCCTCGTCACTTCATCTTTCAACTTACATTCTCCAAGGTCTGAGCGAAGCTATCGAGGTGCTTGACGTGATAGCTCACGCGGCTGATATCATGTGTGGCGGGCCGAGGCGCATCGCCGGAGCTGGAACCGTACTGATCATGGTCGGCCTGTGAGTCTACACGTACTCTGCGCGATTGGATCGCCGAGACCCTGGCACCTACAGTTGAGTCTGCACTGCTCACGCTGTTCCCGTCATGGGGTCGCCGAGACCGAATGGTCACATACGGCTGGTGATCGCCCATGTTCACTGGCTTTCGAAGCAAGCCTTGGCCAATCTACGAGTCGATATTTAGGTATCCAGGTTGCAGTTATACGCGCTTTCGTGGCCAAATAGTGAAACACGGCGCCGGATGTCTCTTTTACCACAATTTGAGTATTCATGAGATGTAAATAGTGACACGGAAAAAAACCAAATGTGCTAGGAGGGCCGTGGAAGCCAAATGGTCTGTAGAAATCGTAGTGACGTCTGATGCATCGTCAGGTACAGCAAAAAAGAGCCTTTGGGTTGTGAGAGAGGGAAAAATAAGAGAAAAGATGTCGTCGGCGGTGTCTTTCGACGAGGCCCCGTTCGTCTCGGTCGACGGAAGGCGGACGGGTTGGAGGGGCATCCCACTCCGCGCCAGCTTCGGTAGCTAAAACGGCTTAGCGTGGCTGATGAGCCGGTGACCGAATGTGGCAGGGCGGGCTGGACTCGTGAAAGTATGGGTCTAGTTTTAGCCCCTACACGTGCTGAGCTGGCTTATATAATCCTGTACATGTTTAGTATGTTGTGGCTGAGTGTGGCTAGTGCCTCAGATAGGCAGCACCTACCTACACCAGAAGCTTGGGTGGAGTCAGTGGATGTCCCTGGATTCGGCACCGAGCGAAGTGTCCTCAGCAACGGGTCTCCAGCTCCGACATCGATGCCAACGGACCCATCCGAGCACACTGTTCACTCACTGATCACACCAACCCGTTCACGTCACCGGAGAATCCACTTTCATTGACCTTACCACCTTGCATCTCGTTTACTTATCTTCTGGTAATATTCAGAGCGTTTACGGATACATTGAAGCGGAACTCACTTGCCCCAGTCTGCAGCGAGATTGCGTAGGTCATCGTACAACATGCGTCAGCGAATCACCTTCATTCATAAGCCCAGTGACGGCGCGCCTCCGGAGTCTCTTGAGATTAGCGATGCCGGCGTAAAGGGTCCCGAGCTCTTATCTGTCAGGGAAGATAGAATAACCTTGGCCCTTGAGGAGCTTCCCTCTGAGCTATCCCAGCTTCTGAGTGAGAGTCATGAGCTACACATTAGATGGGTTAGCCCGTTCGCCTATGACACTATTGGCCCTTTGGCTTCGAGGGTATCACCAGGTTTCCATCTGTTTTATACGCCAAAGAAGGAGGAGATCAAATGGGACGCGTGAGTCTCAATCAGAGGGTATCGTCTGGGCAACATAAGGAAAACTCACATGAGATAAAGGACAAGACTTTGCACGGCTCTCAAGGATGCCTTTGGTGGGAGCAGTTGTACGTCGTCAGAGGTAAGCTATACTTCCAGACAATTCTCCTCCCGAGGTCACACTCAACCAGGCAAGATCATCAAGACTAACTCTGTCAAACAAAGTCATTCACAACCCTCCCCAACGATAGGTTCTCTCACTCCGCAGCACTCCAATACTACGAGCCCCTAGAGAACCTCGCCGCATTCAGCCAGTACACAGCCGAGAAGCTCTGCTCGGCATCTGACGCGAACTGCAAGTCCCGCGCAGAGGACCTCAAGACGGCGGCATCCTTTGACATATCCTACGACACAATCTCGCACGCCCTCAAGCTGACGGCACAATGGCCCTACGGCAAACACCGCGTCGCCGTCGCCTCGACACCGAACCACAGGACCGAGGTCGGCATCCTCACAACCGACTCCACCGCGAAGCCGGAGCCGCACGAGATCGGCATGGCGGGCGGCCTCACCGTCCTCGGCGAGCACAAGAAGCCCGCGCCCGTCCTCTTCAACGTGCCTGCCCGCCACCGGCTGCATTCGGACTCGGGAGACGAGGGGTCGCAACGCGCCAGCTCCTTCTCTGCAACGTTCCTCGAGCCGACGGGCCTGCACCCGACACTGCAGCTGCGCTTCGACTCGGCTGAGCCGCCGGTGGAGGATGCCTACTGTGCCATCCACGCGCACCTCACGCTACCGAAAACTATCTTTGCGGACCGCTACCAGCTCGCCGACGACCTGTTCCTCAAGTCCAAGAACCTGACCGCCCTGCGCTACGCCAGCGCGCCCGTGGACCTTGAGGCGCCCGCGTACGCCACAAAGCCATGGGGCTCCGGTGTCCTTCTCGAGCTCGCGCCGCCAACGACGACAGGAGAGGGGAAGACGAACCAAGAGTGGACGGCGGAGGTCCCGCTGCACCTCCGATATCTGGAGCCCGCGCTGGGCGGGTACACCGAGGTAGAGGTGCCCTATCCGGCCGTCTTCTGGGCGTGCTCGTCCGAAGAGGGGACAAAGTTCCCGAGCAGTCCGTTTGAGAGGGTGAATCTCGGATATGACGCGTTGTTCGGACCGAGGACGGTGTTTTGGCACGTGGAGCCGCGACCCGCTGCCGGACGAGACGGAGGTCGGCTCACGAGCACCGTACGCGTGCCTGTTCTCGAGACCGGGCAGGCGGAGTGGGTTCGCGTTGGGACGGCGGCTGCGGTACTTGTTGGGTTCGCGTGGGTTCTGTGGAGGCTCGTGGCGGCGTACTCCAAGACGGGATATGGAAGGCGTAGCGGGGCGGATGTTGGTGAGAAGAAGAAGCAGTAGAATACACGCCTGGACATCTGGAATATACCACCACCTTACCTACCGTGCCTTACCGCCTTACCTTGATGGGTATATAGACCTCCTCATTTCCATTCCTGTCACCAGCCAGCAGGCGCCCTCTAGGTCGGGGGTCAGGTCAAACTGGCTGGGTGGTGGAATGGTTCATGGTCAACAATCAATTTATACGCCAACCAGCCTACTCGACGACAGGCTTAGCGAGTACCCGAGTTCGAATCCCAGCATGTGCACCAAGAGATGTAGCCCCCATTCGCCACCGGGGGGGTGAACTCTTTTTTGGTTCATTGTGGTAATTGTATGTGATTAAGTAATACCACGCGAGGTAGTTGAAGATGAAATAAGGGTCATCTCGCGTCCAACATGTTCATGTTCCTACAGTGTGTCGCGGATTTGCACGGCCCGGCTGTGGCGGAGCCCTCCTTGACAACCAACACCGCAGAACGCGGGCGACGCGGAAGCCTCCACCATGAAAGTCGCCTGATTATCCCAACGACATTTCTCGTTTCTTCACCTTGGCTTTCTGTTCGTCTCAAAGGAAGTCACACCCAATCAACTCCCAATTGACAATTCTAAAGCCACCAATGCATCTCACACCAACCCAACAATGATCTCCTACGTCATCGCCCTCGTGGCATTCCTCATCTTCTTCTCCGACCCCCTCGTCGACTTCTTCTCCCCGTCGTCAACATCCGGTGGCCGAAGCGGCACAAGCCGGAGCCGGGTGGCCCGCACGCCCCGGCCGCAGATGAACGAGTCCCTTCTCGCCATCGAACATCCCAACGCCACGGCTCTGTCGTGCCCACCCGACGACTACTCTGTGCGCATCTTTTCCAAGGAGCCGTTGGTGTTGTATATCGAAGGGTTTTTGAGTATGGAGGAAAGGAAGCATCTACTTGAGATTAGGTATGTTGTTTTATTACATGCATGTATTTTGCCTTCCCTATTTCGTGTCGCGTCACACACGCATCCGGAACCTTGGTTACAATTGAAGATGAGGAAGATGAATCCATGCTTTCTCATAAGCTTCCCACTCGCCCAACACTCAATCTCAACTCATATCTCATCTCACCTCACCCCAACTCATCTCAAACTCATCTCACTCACTCACACACACCTCACCAGCAACCCCATCTTCGAACCCTCAACAATAACCCACAACGGCGCAAACACCCACCGCGACACCTCCATCCGCTCCTCCGACGTCGCCCTCCTCCCGCGAGACGACACGGTCCGCTGCATCGAGGCCCGCGCCCGCGCCCTCCAGGGCTGGCGCGAGGACCTCTGGATCGAGAGGCTGCGGACGCAGCGGTACGTCGAAGGCGGGCACTACTCGTATCATTTCGACTGGACCGCCAACCGCGGCGGGTGGGGGCGGGTGAGTAGTATGATGGCGTGGGTTGACGCGCGCGACGAGGACGAGAACGAGGTGCCACCTGGGACGGGGAACGGGGATGGGTTGGTTGGTGGCGGGACGGAGTTTCCGTTGTTGGAGGTTCCGGGGTTGAAGAAGGAGGTTTGGTGTCGGTTTGTGGAGTGTGGGGGGAGGGATGGTGGTGATCAAGCTAGTGATGGCGGTGATGAGAAGAAGATGGGAGGTGACGAGGAGGCCAAGGGGACTACCTTCAAGCCTGTTCCGGGCAACGCGGTATACTGGGAGAACTTCCGGGCTGATGGGAGCGGTGCCGGATATGACGAGACGTGGCACGCCGGACTGCCAGTCATAAAAGGCGTCAAGGTCGGGCTGAATATCTGGAGCACTGGGAGGATAGAGTGAGATGACGTGAGTCGGACGTGCTCATACAGCATCATAGCCTCGAAACATGCTCAGTTTAAAATGGTAACATTAAGTGTTGCTCAGTCTGTTCTTTTGTACGACAATATGAACGCCAACCTTCAGCACCCCTTCTCAAGTGATATAGCCCCCCCCCCCCCCAACATACGTCCCAAAATGATGCAAAGATATCCAGCCACCAAAATGCTCCGGCTTGCTTGAAGAAGATGAGAAAGAAAAACAAGGAAGAAATTATGGAGTGAACACACACGCGCACGTTAGCCGCATTTCTCACAAACACAACGACGCCTACTATGAAAGACCAAGGAAATTCGGCTCTCCCCCACCCCCAGCCGTCCAGTCAAAATCGTCCATGAGCATCGACCAGTCGATATCCTGCAGCGGGTCACTCGCCGGCACAAGGTTCGCGTTCGCATCCGTCGCCGCCGCTACCACAAGGTCAGCAACACTTCCACCGAACCCCCGGCCACCCCTACACTCACGCGTCGACGCCGTGCCCCCCACCCCGGTTCCCTGTCCAACACCACCTCCTCCAGCAACACCACCGGCACCACCGACCCCGACACCAGAACCGCCCTGCCCAACTCTCGCCTGATCAAGCTCTTTCTTCCACCGTCTCAGCGTCCCAAACGCGATGACAGCACCCGTACGGTGCGGATACTGCGAGATGGGCGCCTCCAGCTTGGGCATCATGTGCCTCAGACTCCAATAACTCTCCGACATGCGCAGCACGCGCATGGCGAAATCGCCTTCCTGCACGGAACACCGCCGCAGGGCTTCTTGCGCGTTCTTGACCGAGACGTCGGCGTTGGCGAGCTCGACGTCTGTAGCGTGGCCCGAGACGAGGACGTCGAATATCACGGCGGCGGCGTCGAGGATGGTGCGGAAGACGTGTTGCGGGGCGTGTAGAAGGAAACGGTGCGAGGACTCGAGGCGTAAGGAGAGGTTGATGAGGGCTTGGGCTGTGCTGTAGGCGCGGTTTACGTTGTGGCGGAAAGTGGGTTTGTCCACGGTGGAGAGGGGGATGAAGTAGTAGGATTGGAGCTCGAATTGGACTGCTAGGATGGTAAAGAGGTCGAGGTCTGTACTTATCAGTAAAGGGGGGTTCTCGACGTGGTTTCGGGGGGAGGCAAAAGAGAATCATGTTTACGAACCAGAATTGTGTCGAGCCTGTAGCTGCTTTAGCTTGTTCAGCTCATCTTCCAAAAGCTGAATGACGGTGTCCGGCACGCCTTCTCCTTCTTCGGCGACGGAGAAGACGGTCCGACTCAGTCTGTTGGAAAACTTTTGCATCTCGTAAAGGAGGCCAAAGTACCCCAGAGCATCAGGGAGGGATCTCCCACCGGCGGCCCTGTTGACGGCTTCATTGAAGAAGCCGGCCGGGGGCGGGAAACCATTACTTGAGGCGACTCTATGCCACGTAGTCAGATACCAATTGCCGAAACTGAGTCACATATGTTTACAACTTAACAAAAACGTACCTTTGAGCCTGGATATTATACCCCATCCACGTAAAACAGGCCTCCTCGTCGGTGATATCAGTCTGCCGGTTCGGCCCTATACAAAACTCCGGATGTGTGCCACGGCCCGTATGCAAACCCAACAGCAGCGCGGCATTCTGCGCGATGGCGACGTACGAGGACGACGGGTCGTTGAGGAAGCGGATGGAGGGTAAGGGCCATGTGCAGAGGACGAGCAGGGCGTCAACAGTAGACATGCTGATGGGCGGGCTCGAAACGGCGGCCCAGACCTCGCGGGGCAGGTTCTCGATGAGAAAAGGGAAGAGGCCGGCGTCGCGGGTGTACCGCCGCGAGGAGATGGCGATGAGGGTCCAGAAGAGAATGGGGCTCTGTTTGTAGAGCTTGTCTGGGTCCTGAGAGCGGACGATGGGGAAATAAGGGTGGAAGTGCTCAAAGTAGCTGTTGTCATAACGCCTCAGTCTTTGTTTTTCTGATATGGATATGTGCTGGCTTGGGGATGATGTAGGAAGAAGGGTTAAGGTAGCTAGCTCACTGGTCAAAGTAAAAATCGATATCCTCCCCAGACAGTACCTTGGACCCCAAAGCCCTTGGCTGGGCGGGCTGCCTCGCGGGACCCGTAGGTGTCGTATGCGATGTGAGGGTTGGCGTTGGGACCTGCTCCGGTTGGCGGGCCTGCTGAACGGGAGACAAGGCCGGCAGGCTCACCCTTGATGCGGAGGGGGGCGGCCGGTGGTCCGAAAAGGCACTGGCGGCTCCGGGGTAGGCAGTGCTCGGGCTCGGCAGCGGCAGCGGCAAGGCGGCCGGAGGCAGGATGCCAGTGGCGGAGACGGGGCTCGGGTTGACGGCATTCTTGATTGTTTGGACTTCTTTTTCGAGTTGTTCTAGTTTGCTGTTTGATGTTCACACACGCGCGGAGATATTAGACCGTGATCTTGTATTGAAAGGACACACACAATAACATAGGGCACTGGGAATAGAAAGACGGGCGCCTTTGGAGCAGGGAGGAAAGGAGAAGAGAGGAGAAGGGAAGCCACCTTCGTCTGGTCATCCGCTTGTGAGACTTGTCAATGACACATTGTATACCGAGCTTAGAGCAACGTTGACACGGCTTGTTGGGCGTGTAGCTCGCATTACACTTGACCTATTTCCGGTCGTCCAAAGACGTTCTGTTAGCATATGGGACGTCATATTCGGTATAGCAGTGCGACGGATTCCTAGAACATGCAAAAACGCCGAAGGAACAGAATAAGTCTCATCGGCATGTTTGCTGACATTGCATGATGAGCCCCAGGGGACCTGACGAGGTGGCCCCCCATCCGTCCTTCCCGAGTCCCGGATGTCAACCGCGATCCAATGGGAATGGGAACCGGGAGAGGCGTTGGAGGGGCACGGGGCATGCTTGACATGTGTGGCAGCAGAATGTTTAAAAGATTAAAACACCACGAGGTAAGGTCGCCATGCAAGGGGTTTGAGGGACAGATACAAGATGAACTGGTCCAGGGTATGTATAAAAGGTATGTACGGATACAAAAAGGGAGTATCAGAGGAAAAGTGAAAGCCCACCTTGGAGTCGCGACAGCTCGTGCAGGCTGTATTGCGCCGGATCCGGTTCGGCACTGGAGGGCTGGGCGAGGTATCCCTCTGTGCCGACGCGGGGCTCTTCAGCGGCGGGTCCATCAAGTTTAGGGTAGGGTGCGCGCGTGCGTGCGTGCGCTCTGCCTCCTTGTCCAGGTTTAAACGCCTCTTTGTGTGTTTAAATGCGCCGATTCTGGCGCACTTGTGGGTGCTCGCTCTGATTGTCTGGCTCACTTGCTGGCAGCTGCTGTGGTTGTGTGAATTGTTGATGGCAGAGGTGGAGAGGAGAGAAAGGGAAACTCGGCGCGGTTTCGGCAATGCAGAAGAAAGGTGAGGAGGAGTGCGGTTTGATGAGAAATGCTGGGAAAGGCGCGACCGCAACCAGAGAAAGAGGAGACGATCACGTGCGCTTACCAAGTCCATTTCTGAAGGATTCAACGGCGGTCTTATCGCGGACAATGTCCGTACCTCCTTCTATCTTAAGGTAAGCACGTTTGATATGCAATCTAGCCAACAACGAAGCCGATGCCTCTCCTTCGATCCGCCGTTTGAGTCATCGCGAGAAGTCTATGGTGTTTTGCGATCAGGGCGACGAGTCAGACGCTTGTCGTGTAGCACACGACTTACTCAATACACACTTACCTAGACGCCATGTTCGAACACATGCTTCAGGCCGATGCATGCCGACGTTTATTGACCATATGAAAAATATTGAGAAGGACCACTTACCAATTTCTCTATTGAGTCAATGTACCTTACAGTGCGCCATAGAGGAGGTATGAAGCTTGGTCTCACGTTGATGAGTCACTGAGGCAAGGCGCAACGGCCTCGAAAGCTTTGAAATGAGCATGGTAGTCGGAGAAAGCTCTCAGGTTTCTCAATAAAATCAGGTCGATAATCACTTTGACCATATTGGTGAAATCGCCGCCGAGAACATCTGCGTATTTTGGGAACTATGCACCATCCAATGGCTTGCTTCATCTACATCAACGGGTACCCGGGCGTCGGCAAATTCACTGTCGCCAGCGCTCTCTCTAAACTGATTCCACGCAGCCGCGTCTTCCACAACCACCTGGTAATCGACCCCGTCGCCGCCATGCTCGATCGCGACGATGCCGAGGCCTACAACGATCTGAGAACCAAGTTCCGCAGACACGCTCTGGACACCATCGCCACACACCCTGCGCTTGCGGACAAGACGTTCATCTTTACAGACGCGCGGGAGTCGGGTCCTCTCGGCAGCGAAGCGGCGCAAAATTACAAGGCGGCCGCTGAGAAAAGGGGCGTGCCGTTCATCTCGATCGTGTTACATTGCGACGTGGACGAGAATGTCAGGAGACTTGGAGGCCGGAGGTGTGCTAAAGATGGTGAGGGGGCTAGTAACACCAAGTTGACTGACGATGAGATTCTGAGAAAGATTCGGGAGAAGGAAACCATCTTTCAGTTTGGGGATGAAAACGAAATTTGTCTGGACGTCACGAGCCTGGAGCCCGATCATTCTGCGTTCCTGATTTTACAACATGTGAACGCGGTTCACCATCGTCTTGATAAAGACAATTGAAGGTCATATTTCATTCACACCACATAATTTCATCGGCGATCTCATCAAGCGCTACTCCGTATGGTTTCGTATTCTCATCAAGATACCTAGAAATTCGCGCATTGCTTGTCATCATCCTTTAGGAAATGGCGCTAAATGTTGGGATTCTCATCCTTGATATCACGTCCACTTCCTCTCACAACTTCCAACCCACATACCCCAACCCAGAACCTTGCCCTGGATAGCTTCGGCGACCTGCTCCCTAGTAGCCCGGGCCTCCAGCATTGTCCTATCCAGTGGCTCGCTCAGGGCAACAATTTGGAAGAAATCTGTCGACTGTCAGTCTTCCCATTTTACCTGAATGCAAGAGAAATCAAAACTCACACCTGTGGGTACCGTGGTTCATAAGGGGCCGCGGGGGAACATACACACCCTCCCTCCGCCCCTTACCCCAGTAAAACCCTCCCTTTAGCAGAGATTTGCTCTCATCCTCAATCTCAAAGTCTTTGGGGTTCACCTGTTTCTTCTCAGGTGCAATGCCACCGTATACACTACAGTCAACAAGTCAGCATTTTCCTCTCTTTGAGATGTGTGCGACTTACCCGTGACAGATGGGCGTCGGCAGGGGCGCATCCGGATCCTCGACCACGATGAGCCACTCCTTGACCTTTGACTCGAGGTCTAGCGGCGCGGACCACGACAGCGCGGGAATACGGCCGCCGCCTTCTGTGATGTACTCCGGACCCAAAGTAGCTGGAGACGCACCGCAGTCTGGCGACGTGACGGTGATCGTCTGCTCCGTATGCGAGGCGAAGGCCGGGGATGTGTAGAAGGATTTGGCGTCGTGGGCGCGGGAGTTCTTGAGGAGCCAGCTCAAAGTCACTTCGACGTATGGATTCATTCTGTCGGATCTGAGAATCCTTTGATTTGTAGTATAATGATTATCAGAGTTTATTGATATTTCTTGTGTTGTGGTTTGAAAACGGGGCTGTAGTGATTATGTCAGATGAGATGAGGTGGAAGAGGGGGAATATGAATCTCATATATCGACGATTCTCAAGAACCCATGATTAAGCTTGTTTCCGCAACCCGAAACGCTTATTACGGTATGTCCATGCTTATCTCCAGCTAAGCGGACGCGATGCCTGCCTTCAGACGGTCTTACAAGCCTCAAGCCCGGGTGGCTTGGACTTGTATGACTTCGGTGCCGATTCGGTCATCACTCGGCCGATCGATCTGTCGTCAGGCAATTGAGGTCTGGATTAGTGCCAAAATCTCCCATTCCCTCTTCTTTTACCTCTATTTTCCCTTTGTATGAGACTCGACTGCACGCCAAATGACATAGAGTACTTCACCAAGTAAAAATATGGTGAGTTACTCATAATGCAGAGAGAAGATGTGAGACTCTGGAGAGGATCACTGCAGGGATCCTCCTCGTCTGCTTCCGGCTTGGCGGTGCTTAACGGTTTTCAGTGGTCCACGGCCCCTGTAGACGGACGCCGCGCCGCATGTGGCTTGAACTGGCCCAGGTACGGACAATTCCCGTGTGGTAGGTAAGGAATCAGGCGGAAAACAACCGCAAAGGACTGTCTATTTCAATAATACCAACATCAACTACAACAACAATTATTTTAATTGTCGCAATCGTTGGCAAAGATGATTCTACAAGAAATTCACCGCAGTCTCTTGAGGAACACAAAGAGCGCTGCTTCCGGGCTATCCAGACTATCCGCAAACATGTCATCGACGCGCCCCTATTCGTCATCACGGTCATTTCCCGCGCTCTTCGTCCGCGGCGGAACGTCTAACGGTCTCGTCATCCACAGACACAACCTCCCACTAGAAAGCGAATGGCACAAAGTATTGCCTGCCGCCATGGGCTCGCCGGACCCTTACGGCCGCCAGCTCAACGGGATGGGTTCGGGCATCTCATCAACGTCCAAAATCGTCGTGCTGTCTCCGCCCTCGCGCCCCGACGTGGACGTGGACTACACTTTTGTTCAAGTTGGCATCAAGGATGGCAGCCTCGACACAGCAGGTAATTGCGGAAACCTCTCATCGGCAGTGGGGCCCATGAGCTTGGACGAAGGTCTCATCCCGAACCCGCGCCTCGAACAAGGGGCCGACGGCCAGACGTTCGCTACCGTACGCATCTTCAACACCAACACATCAAAAGTCATCTCATCGCGCTTCAGGGTCGTCGTTGACGGGACCAACTCACCAAGATACGCCCCGGAAGGCGCTTACACCATGGACGGCGTCCCCGGCACCGCTTCCCCCATTACCCTAAGCTTCCTGGACCCCGCCGGCGCAAAGACGGGCAAGGCCCTCCCCACGGGGAACCCCCGCGACTGGCTCCTCCTCCCGGACGCGAGCACAATCCAGGCCTCGCTCGTCGACGTCAGCAACCCGGGTGTCTTTGTCCGCGCCGCCGACCTGGGCATCCCCTCGCCCGAAGACCTCACGCCGCAGGTCGTCGAGGCGGATGCCAAGCTCAAGGTCAAACTGGACGGGATCCGGCGCGCGGGAGCGTCTATGATGGGACTGAACCCGGACGTGGAGAGCGTACCTAAGATCGTGCTGCTCTTCTCCGAGACGCGCGCGGATGACGTAGACATCCGGTGTCTTGCGCTGTCCATGGGCCAGGCGCACAAGGCTGTGCCGTTGACGCTTGCGCTGTGTCTCGGGGCTGCTAGTCAGTTGCCCGGCACGATACCGGCGGAGCTCATTGGTGGCCGTGCCAAGGAGTCTGTCGTTATTGGGCACCCGAGCGGTAAGGTGGATATCGGGGCTACATTTGACAATGGCGAGATTGTGTCGGCGGATCTTCGCCGCACGGCTCGAGTGCTGATGAAGGGTGAGGTGTTCTACTAGCAACTTGCTAGAGACTGTTAGACTGTTGCTACGAATCTCTTACCATAAGATGAGGTGCAGTCCACGGATCCTAAGCACATCCGATGCGGCCTGGTATTCAATCTGTCAAAACTTACATCGCCGCTGGAAGACTTCTGAACAAAGAGATGAAAGGCTCCGGCGATGCATAGCCCTACTCGCGAGCAGGACAGCGTTTCAAGGTCTTCACACAATCAAGTAAGTCAAGGTGGGAAAGCTACACGCAATCAGCGCCCTTATCGAATGTTGGGTTGACGTGCTCTATCGAATTCATCGTCGGCGCAAAGGTTCCACGACGACGGAAGTTCATCAACACTGGCTGTATGATCCTGTAGCGATTCTCATCGGGATGGCAGATCCGGCGCCATCTACGATGAGATGTCGAGCCAGAGCAGGGCAAATTTGCAGATCTTCGCGCCCTCTGAAAGCTTCTTGCACTTCCTTCTAAGCGATCTGAGCATCAAAGCTCGGAAGCCGGCGAAAGCTTGTAGGGGACTACTTGGCGAGGTCTCTCGTGGCATCACAGTAATACATCTGGCCGTGACTACTGTACTAGGATGAGCTCAATTTGGTATAACTGGGTCCTAAAGCGACGATGCAAGCAAGCGTCCCTATCACTACACCTGCAAAAATTCCTCGTATCCTGGTAGAGGCAGTGTATGCTAAGGCGGACGTGTTTATTGTCTCCGCTAGATGAGAGACTTGACAGTTTTAGGAACCGTATGGCCAGAGGCATAAGCAATTCACTTCAAACTCATGAGCCACAACGTCTTATTGGATACATTTTTACTGCCACAGTCAACGATATGAAGCGATCAATTTCGTGCAAGACGTGTCTTAAGTCGGCAAACCAGCCTAAGTAATGTATTGCTAGGCTTGAGCGAGACAACAACCAATATGATTGTCTGAAACCCTGCCGTTTATTTCTCGGGACGATATGCAGCGAGTCTTGGGGAGAATGGGAAATCCATACCCCTAACCATCAGGACGATACTCTAATAGTAGGTGCCTCGCTGGAATGAAGATCGGGTCGCTCAAGCAGGTGCCAAGGTTTGAACGAGGATTCTTCATCCAAATGAGGTTTCCAACTTAACATAGTTTTTCCCTCTGCGAAAATGAACGCGACCGACGGGCCTCCTACAGAACGTGCCTTTTCTGGGTCGTATGGCCCAACTTATTCCTCCAGCTTGTACCAGGCGCTTCGGGAGTATCTGGAGACTCGCTCCGCAGTAATCTTGTCTATGTAAAGACCTTCTCCTGTGAGCCAGGCCACTTCGTTCTTCAGCTTGCCGGTCGCGATATCGCGCAGATGACGGATCAATATCGGCCCCTGGTGTGGCTGGCGGTACGTGATCTCAAGTTCGTACACGCCAGTACGATGCTTCCAGATGCCCCCCAATTCATCGGGATCATCAAGATGAATTGTGTTGTGTGGAAGATTCCCAGGATTAAATGCGGGCGTGGACATTTTGAGAACTTGAAACCGAATCAATTTTGCTGTTGGGTGTAGTGGATTGGAAGTGCGGGATGTCGTATTCAAGTTACAAGTTTTCACTGGACGGGCACCCTTTCCATGGCGTTTTATAGATGAATATGTTTTCAACGCCTCTTTCCATTACTTCACCTCCCTCAACAGGATGTTTAATGTAGAGAATGAGTATGTATCATTGACGGTGAACATGGCTAAGGCGGTGCTACTTCACGACAAAGGATTCCAGAGTTGTTGATCGCCAATTCCCTTGGTTACATGAATGCGGTAAACGCGTACTATTCGGCGATGCTTACCAAACATCCATCAAAAGGAAGTCTTGCTTCTGAACATTCAGCACAAAGACAGAAGAATAGTTGGGGAATGAGTAAAGTTAGGGGGCTTCGCCAAGGATCGTCAGATGAAGTATTAATCTGAAAGACGACGATCCTTATAAGATATCTATGGTTCCCTTTGATGGTGCCCGAGACGTGTTTCCTATCGCCAAGAACCGGCACATGAGAACCTCTTGGAATCAGATATCAGGAGGTTGGTACCACCTGCAATAAAAAGTCTCTTTATGGTTTATTTCAGTGCTTCGCTTGAAAAAAAGACTGGAAGAAATCCGTAACCACGTTACCTCCGACTCGGGTGTGGTGGAGGGTCGAAGCCAACTCAGGAGACCGGTTTGCACCTCCTCTTCAAAGATGAAAATGTGTGTTCTCATGTGCAACCAACGATGAGGTCAAGAAATCGAGAAAGGTCATGTTTTTCCCTGGCTTTTTCTTACCCTTTTCCCGGCTCAATTTTGATGAATATCAGTCTGCCCACTTGTGGTACTGCAAAATCTCGAAGTGTCTTGATCTCAAGCCGAACGTGAAACTAGAATGAAAAGCTCACATCCCTTGCCCCCTGGCCTCGCTTACAACACTCGTTTTGCTCGTCACCAAAATCCCAACCTCGGAGCCCGAAGCATCGTCCCCTCTCCCCTTGAAGTCCCTCGCCACGCTATCCTCCGACGGATTCCCGCTGGCCGCCATTACGGCCACGTTATGCCTCTTCTCTCGCAACCTATCCAGCTCCAAATCGTCATCATCGTCGCTGTGTGTCGAGTGCATCTGACTAAACCTCCCTCCCCCGCCTCTAGAAAGTTTCGACCCGAGAAGCCCGGATTGGCCAATCGTCTGAAGGGTGTTCGGCTTGGCAGAGGCCGCCCCTGCCCCGCCGGATCTCGTTGTGGCACCGCGTGTGCCGCGTAGGGACCAGAAGCGGCCGACGGTGGCATCGAATATCGGTTTCAGGAGGGGGCTGCTCGAGACTATGATGGCGACGCCGGGCTCGAGAGTTCCCATCAGCACGACGCCGACCTGGGAGTATGTCACGTCCGTGAAGTCCATTGTCAAGACGTTCTTTAATCGTAGGGCGGCGAAGATCATGGTCCTGGAGAAGTTCGTACAGGCCACGGTCAGTTATCCATATAGTGGCACAACAATGTGAGGGCGAGATGAAGAAGCTGGGGATTCCCTTACAGAGCGCCTGCGCCAAAGATGATGTACAAAGCCACCTTGTGCGGCCACCGCAGTTGCAGGTTATACACCATGGGTATCGGCAGCACTAGAATGATGAGGTCCGTCGCGAGGTCAAAGTAGCCCACGGCGGCGAAAGCGGCGTTCTGGTCGCCGCACTTGCCGCCGGGCGTCGCCGGGTTCCAGTTCATGGCCACGGGCTGGCAGATGAAGATGCCAATGAGAATGGTGAAGAGCATCCAGCAGACGCAGAGGCCCGTGGTGATGCGGGCCGCGATCTTGAAACCCTGGACGAAGAAGACGCGCTGGAGCATGAGGGTGATGCCGATCTTGATGAAGCCGAGGCAGATGGCGAAGAGGGTTTGAACACCGTATGCGGCCTGTTTTCTCCCCGAGAGGCGTGTTGTTAGTCGAGGTTCTTAGGAGAGGTAATAGAAAAGAAATCAGGGGCAACACGGGGATATCTTTGTAGGCTGACCTTTGACATGCGTTCGACGTGATATGGCTGGAGGGTCAAGTAGTGATGCCCAGTTCCTCCGAGATAGACCACTAGAACCACCTTTTAGTATAGTTCAGCTCTGCAAGACTTTGTGGTCCAACTCACTAACAAAATTGCAGGCCACTAGCCCATAGAAGGCGATCTACTATGTTGTCAATACACCTGAAATACGACTTGCCACCACGTCGTGTCCTACCAGAGCAACAACAGTCAAGAAATCCTCAATGGTAAATGACTGTCCCTTCTTCCGCCGACTGTATAACCGCATACCCGTCCATAGTGTTGTGGCAAACGTCAGTAGCACATTGACGACGACAATGGGAACCGCTCTGTCGGAAAGGGGCACGATCTCGGTCTGGATAACATCCTCTGGTTGTACGGTAGCGTTTGTCGGTACGGCTAGACGAGCAAAGAGCGCACCGCTGATTCTCATCATGGATTCGTGTCGGGTGTCGTCTCGCACGACGGGGCGATTATGGTGGCTGGAGATCTAGTCTTCAACTAATACTGCAGACGCCGCACCAGACGGAACGGGGGAGCCTTATGGCTTAACATATCCGTCAACCTCCTTTCCGCAACGGCACAGTGAGTGATCCACATTCTTCAAGCGAACAGAACATATGCATGATCGAGTCAAGACACAGGTTCTAGCCGTACGAAGGGGTGAAAAAAAAGCAAAGACCTACTTGACAGGGGCGTCCAACAGGCCTCGTCTTGGGCACCCCCGAAACCAACCCAGGTTATGGTCATGGCTCACCGGCCGATGGGCCATGCGGGAGGCGGGCGCACTGGGATCCCGCGTGGCAATGATGAGATATCACAAATTCATGATAACGCAAGAGGTCTACCATGTAGACGGGGCGCGAAAATTCCCACATGGTGATACGATTTTGCGATACAAAGATCGAGAGTCTCTCGGACTTCCTGTGCTTGCACTCTGCATGAAGCTGGGATATTGAAATAGGGCCCGCTCCAAAAGTGCTATGGAGCCGCGCTAATCCAGGTGAAGGAGACGGCTATGTCGAGTTATCTCAAACCAACGAGACTACGTTTGGAGAACAAGCATAACAGACGTTAGTTCTGTCTGTCCGCTGACGAAGTCGGAATATGCTTACGGCTTCCATAGAGTTGCAGTACTCCGTAGACCCATTGCGTATCGTAAACTCAGTTTACATCGATCGACCAGCCAAGTCCCATCATCACATTAACCCTATCCGCGGACCGCGTCGTAGGGAACAGGGGATGACGGACCGCAGAACAAGTCGTCTCTGCATTCGGTAACCTGGTCCGAAAGAAACCCCACAACTCCGGATCCTTGAACATCCAACACCACTCAATCGACTGATGAGCCCACTCAGAGGCCTCTGTCAACTAGTCAGGAACCTGGTCAGAGGATAACGACAGAGCTTGGCCCGGAAAGGTTCCCCGTGGAGGAGGAATATTGGTGGATCCCCTTCAACGGGAGGGCAATGGGGGAGAACCTCTTGATCTGTTGATGTCGCTCACCCGCCGTACCCGAGCCACCTTCTGGCCCTGGCCATTTTCTTCTTGCGATATCGAAATATTCAAAATTGCGCCGAGTTCCACATGGCAAAAGTCTCCGCAACGGCCGCAGAACGGAGCCTCGGACGACGATACTGGCGGGCGATGTGTGCGTGATATCTCCCTATGCGTCTGCTCTTAAAAGAGAAGCGGCTGCGGCGTCTGTGCGGTTCGAGTGTGTGAGGTCTTCTCTCTTCGTCCCTCTACTACGCCCGATTCTCTCTGCATTGCATTCTGCAACGGCTCGTCACACACTCTGCAGTCCCAGCCTTCCGGTTCCCGATCTGCAGCATCAATCACAACTTGCGCCAAGTTTTCCCTTTTCAGAATCTTTGCGTCGAATCCTGTTTTACGTGCCGCTGCCCTGCATAACGACACACAAATCAGGAAATCATGCTGCCAACCGACGTCTGGGACTACATTGTCGTCGGAGGCGGCCTCGCCGGCTCCGTCGTCTCGAGCCGACTGTTGGCGCTTAACAACACGGCCAAGATTCTCGTCATCGAGGCCGGTTCCAGTGCTGCTGGCCGGACGGACATTCTCTACGTCAACTCGACCAACCTGATCGCGGGGGACTTTGACTGGAACTACTACTCCACGCCGCAATCTCAGCTCAACGGCCGCACGATTCAGAGCGCTGCTGGGAAGGGTCTCGGCGGCGGCTCCCTCATCAACACATGTAAGTCAACTCCCCATAGTTTGTTCTGTGGTGAAAAGTGCATCCGAAAATACTGACCCCTTGTTGAGGTGGATGGATGCGTGGTGCCCGCGTCGACTATGACGAGTGGGCCGAACTGGCCAACGATTCCCGTTGGAGCTACGACAGCCAGCTGCCGTTCTTCAAGCGGTCCGAGGCCTACTGGACCGACGTCAACGCCGACGAGCATGGGTACGACGGACCCCTCAAGGTCGAGGTACCCTCGGTCACGGGCCGCGTCTACCCCCTCAGAGACGCCGTCTACGCCTCGTACGAGTCCGTCGGCGTCAAGGCTCTCCTGGGCCTGGACGCCAATGCCGGACAGAACCTCGGCTTTGGCGAGATTGCAGAGAACCGCCGCAACGGCGTCCGTCAGATCGCGTCAGAGTACTACCCCCTTGACGGCGTCACGGTCATGACAGATACGCTCGTCGAGAAGATACTCCTCCGCAATGACAACAGCTCAAGCACCGGTACCCTTGTCGCCACCGGCGTCCGCCTCGCCAACGGCACGGAGATCCTCGGCAAGGAGGTCATCGCCGCCGCCGGCGCCTACCGCACGCCGCAACTCCTGATGCTATCCGGCATCGGCCCGTCCGACGAACTCGCCAAGCACGGTATCGAAACTAAGCTCGATGCGCCCGAGGTCGGCAAGAACTTTGCCGACCACCCCTTCTTCACCTACAACTGGCGCCTCTCCCCGCAGTACCGCAACTCGACCGTCGACTCAGGCAACACCCTCTTCTTCCAGCCGCAGTACGGCCTCGGTCAGCCCAACAACTTTGTCGCCTCCTTTGGCGTGGAAGACCAGGACGGCCTCGTCGCCGCCATCACCAAAGAAGAGGGCGCCGCACCCGACCCGGCGACGCACCCGCTCCTCAAGAACGAGCGCACCCTCATGGAGGGGTTCGTGCTCTACGTCAACACGAACCCGGCGCTCCCTTCCAACAGCACCTACCTCACGACGGCCAACGTCGGCCTGCACCCCACAAGCCGCGGCTCCGTGACGCTCGCCTCCGCGGACCCGAGTGAGGCCCCGCTCATCGACCCCAACTTCTTCGCTTCCGAGGTTGACCGGTTCGTGTGGCGCGACTCGATCCGCCGGATGACGCGGATGATGATCGGCGGCGAGTCGCCTCTGAGCCAGGGGATCGTCGAGGCTGAAGCGCCAGCGGAAGGTCTGAAGGCGTTTACGCTCGAGTCGACGGACGAGGAGATTGAGGAGCGCATCCGTGCTTCCGTCATGTAAGTGAACTACCTGACCTTTGGATGTGCTGTACGTCCCAGCCCTCGAAACTAACAGGTTGTCTTCTAGTGGCACATACCACCCTATGGGCACATGTGCCATGGGCAAAGTCGTAGACAGCGATCTGCGCGTCAAGGGTGTCAGCAACCTCCGTGTCGTGGACGCTTCCGTGTTCCCGACAATCATCACGGCTCACATCCAGGCCGCGGTGTACGCCCTCGCCGAGCAGGCTGCCGAGATCATTGCTTCGTCATAGGTTAAAGGACTCTCGTTTCTAACGTTGACGAAATTATGCATGAAAATGAGAGAGGAGGCTCTATGAGTGATGTACGGATACATACTAGTAGATAATGCTTAATTAATGAAGATGTAAGGCACTTATGCCGCTAAAACCGTGCCGTGCCGTGCCTCCGGTCCCACTTTCGGCCCGGAACTGGGCTGATTTAGGTGCTCCCCCAAAACTCCGTAGAGGTATGTCTAACTGTAGCAATTTCCGAACCGGAAGCTCAGAATAGAAACAAGTCTGAAATGAGAATCAATGACTGCGATTGCAGGCAACAGTGGAAACGAAAAGGTTTCGTCAAAAAAACAAGACCAGTGTGATGGCTTACATGAAGTTAGGCAGGTCGAATCCTCCAGTGTCCTCTTTCCCCCCACCTCGCATCCGCATCTGAGACCATCGAGCATCGACCTGTGGCGTGCTAGCTGCCTAAGTCTCAGCCATCTCGCCATAAATTGGGGACGCTCATCACCTCCCACTTGCAACATCCAAATCGATACCAATTTGTACTCCATCAGCGATTACCTTCTTGGGAGAATATAAGAAGAGAAGAGAAAAGAAAAACACGATACGCAAGCAGCCCAAACTACCAAGGAACCCTCAAGCCCAACTCACCAGTCAGAAAGACCAACGCTCGCCAACATCCCAACCACAACATCTCGGACACCATCTCAGTCACAGCCGACGAACAATATGGCCTCATCGGACCCCCCTCGCCTCTACTTCGCCTACGGCTCCAACCTCTCCCCAACCCAAATGTCCCTCCGCTGCCCCGCCTCCACACCCCTCGGCCTAGCCCACCTCCCAGATCACACATTCATCATAAACGCCCGCCGCTACGCCAACGTCGTCCCCAACGGCCCCGTAAATCCCGCGTACCTCGCCGACGCCGACGCCGACGCCGCCGCCGCCGCCGCACCGACCACGGACCCGGCCTCAGCCTCCGCGCCTCCTCCGCCCTCGGCTCCGCCCTCAGCGGCTCCAGGCGTCTACGGCGTCCTCTACGCCCTCCCGCCCCAAGACGAAGCAACCCTCGACAGATGCGAAGGCGTGCCCCACGCCTACCAAAAACAAGACCTCGCCGTCAGCATCGCGAACCTCGCCTCCAAAGGCACCGGCGCCACTTCTGCTGCCGCCGGTCTCGCACCGGGCAGCAACGTCACGGCACTAGTCTACGTCGACACCGAGCGGACGGAACCCTCGACGCCGCGGGCCGAGTACGTCGACCGGATGAACCGCGGCGTCGACGAGGCGACGGAGAGGTTCGGGTTGCCGCGGGGGTATGTCGATGACGTGATTCGGGGTTATATCCCGGCTGCTGCTGCTGCTGCTTCTTCGGAAGAGGATACCAAGACCATCAAGGACCCGTTTCTCGAAATTTCTTGAGTTTCTTAAGCATTCATCCTGCTCTGGGATCAGACGGCGCCAAAAAGCACGATCTCCCATACAGCCTACCCAAGAAAACTTGGATAGAGCCCTGTGCTTCACGATCCGACTCTCGCGAGCGGTATTTCGATCCCCTCACAGCACTTGCATCCTACCCATCGCCATTCCCAAACTATGCACCCAAGCCGAGGAACTCCCCCTTTCCCCTTCCTACCATTCTCATCATACCTCAGTACCTCAGAAAGGGCAATCGTAAGAGAGAGAAAGACCGACCAACCGCATAATCCCGTCGCCAAAATCCCCCAGGAAACACTCCAAAACCTCTTGGCATAGTCAAGAAACGCCTTGGCAAAAGCCCAACTAGGAAACGGGGGGTAGCCTGCCCCCTTTTCAAGCTTCTCTCCAAGAAGCGTGTGATGAGTACCGTTGTCCCTTTCTTTTTGTCAGGGGCCAGGCCAGGAGGTTGCGTACAGGCCTACAGCAGCAATTGGAAACCGGACAGTCGGTATTCCGTGGTGAGAAAAGACTTCTTTTTTTAGAACCCAAATGAGGCATGCAGGGAGAGAGAGAGAGAGAGAAACATCAGATGAAGAGGAATGGTCCGAATGGAGCACGTGGTTGGTGCACAGTCCATGGAATGGAAGCGATTGGTACAACTGGTTAGAGCAGCTGAATATCACTAGATACGGGATCACGATATGAGAATGGTTTCATTGAATGCGATGAAAAGTGATGAAGAATCAGCCAAGACTATCATTGACGAAGTTTCTGGCTCTAGGTATCTCTTTGTAGGTTATCGCTCTACTCAACAGCTTCAGGCTGTTCGGCCGTCTCTTTCGTATCCTGCTCTCCTCTCTCTGCCTACCTCCTCCAAAAGGAATGAGTGCTGTCTTGTTGAATGCACATCCGAAAAAACGCCTTGCTCGATGCAGGTACATCAGCCATAATTCTTGAACATCTTGTGTAGAACATGAGAACCCCCAAAAACGCCCTCGCAATGCAATGCTATGAAGAAGCCAAAAATCGACCGTTTGAAATATTAAGCTCCCCCGAAACCCATTCCAACAGAATGCGGCGTGTTTGTTGTTTTTGGTGATTTAGAAAAGGTAGAGCGAGAACCCAGTCGCAAAGGCAACAGATCCCGCAAAGATGGACGCCGCCAGTGGCGCCAACGACGGCGCGGCATTCTTTCCTCCACGGACGATGCCGTCCGTGGCGGACACGGGGCTCGCGACGGCGACGGCAGACGGCACGGCGCTGCTGCCCTTGCCAATCTCGAGAACATTCGTGCTCGTGGCGTTGAACTTGGTCTGCGCCAACGAGACCTCGTTGTTGTCAATGTCGTAGACCACGTACGCCGAGCGCAGGAATGTGTCGCCGAGGACGTTTGTGCCGTCGCCGGCGGGCGCGATGCCAAAGAGGCAGGCCTCGACGCCGTTGGAGAAGGACGTTCGCTTGCCGGTGATGGCGACGAGGTCGAGCACGAGCTCGTCGATGGGTACCGTGATGGGCTGGCCCGAGAAGGTGAAGGTCATGTTGGAGCCCGAGTTGGCCGTGGAGCAGGGGATGAAGGCGACGCCCTCTTCTTGCTGGTAGACGGCGCCCACCATGGAGTAGATTGTCGTGGTCATGTCGTCGGGGAGGTACGTGAGACTGGAACCCGAGTCGAGCAGGACGGCCAGGGCCATGTTTTCGTCCAACGTCTTTGAGCCGAGCGTCACCTTTGTCAGGGTGATGAGGAACTCGGCGTAGCTGCCAGACTCCTTCTGGATGGGTACGGTCTTGAGCTCGCCTTCGAAACGCTCCGTGTCGACTCCGCCGAAAAGAATGTTTCCCTGGCTCGCGTCCAGATCATTCAGCCACAAGCTGAAGGCGCTGGATTGGATGAGGCCCTGAGAGACCATCTTGGCGGGCAAGTTGTCGTAGGAGGCCAAACCGGCACGCCCAACCTGCACTTCGTTGACCTTGTATCCGACTCCTAGGATGCCTTGCGCGGATGAACTCGTGTAGCCGACACCGAACTGGAAGTCGGTCAAAGTAGATCCGCCAATGGTGAACTTATCCGTCACGTAATCTCCAGTCGCTCCAGAGCCGTCGACATAACTAATGTTGAACCAGCTTCCGACGTAGTTGTAGGTTGACGAATCGTTGGCCGAGTAGGTACCGGACACGGAGCATGGCGTGCCTTGACCTTTGCAAAGAGCCGAACTTGCAGTGTTAACCCAGAGATCACTACTCCCGGTGTCGAGGTGAAGTCGCATAGGCTGTGCTGGTGTTCCGAGAGAGCCGTTCACAAAATACAAAGTTTCCTTGGAAGTGTTAGAGATAGTACCGAAAAGACATCATTTATAGACCTACCAAATTGTCCAAAGTCGCTTGCACTGAACCTCTCTTCCTCAACATGTCCCTCTTGTTGCGTGTGTACGGTATTGTCGCGCGGTGCAGGTCCAATCCAACCACCCTTGGTGCGCTGCTTTCGCTCTTTCTGAGTACGAGTCCCTCCGTGGGTAGTAGTGAAGCCGCGAGGGCAATTAATGTTGTTGACTTCATCTTGAGTCTGTGTTTGTGTTTGTACAGCGAGTTGTACGACTCTGAATTAGATCGATATCCAAGCTGTGAGTGTCGACCGGCCGCCAAGACAAGGGTGCCGGAAGGATGTAGATATAATAGAATGGCGTCGTGCTATGAAGTCATTGATGGCGCAACACGGACGGTAGAGAAGAAAACTAGAAGGATGAGAAAAATATAGTCGGTTGCGAAATTCCGGAGTTCGGTGAAGGCGACTACTCGCGGGGGGGAGTGGGCTCGGTATACGGCACGGTGGGGAGAGGATTCGTCACCCGTGATGGTGGCGGAGCTTGCGTTGCTGATGAAGACGAATTGGGGGCGGCGGGAGTGGTGAGCTGGCACCGGACCACCAAACCAGACTAGAGAGACAGGAAGGCGAAGGCAAAGGCCTTTTTTCTTTCCTTTCCGTTTTGCTTTCGGCGCAACGCGTAAACGTAGTGAGTGGGAAAATCCGGCGATCCGGAGGATTTAAGAAAGTGAAAGTAGACTCGAAGTGTCTAGTGGTTAATACCAACTCGTGTAGGTGGTGGTCTTTTGGATGAGTAAGTTGCAGTAGAGAGCAAAGCACGAGCAGGATAGTCCAATGCAATGGAAGCACAGAGGAAGCCAAAAGAGCAGAAGCAGAGCCAAAAAGTGCGGTTGGACGAGAAAAGCAAGCCAAAAGATGAGATGCAAGTCTTTCTTTGTACCAAAAGTCAAAATTCTGGTCCCCCTCTGTTCTTGGAATAGAAACAGCAACAGCGCGGACCATGGGCAAGGCGGGAACTGACACTGCCAAGCGCCACAGTCTCGTCCAAAAGGTCTCACCCAGTCGCAGACTTGACCTCGTCGTCATGCTCGGCGGGGCACTGGACGGGTTGACGGGGGGTTGCGGACAGGGTCCGGGGTTGAGCGTGTTTGGACGAGGCCGGGAGTAGCGAGTTGCTCCTCAAGAGAGACTCAGACAGAGAGAGAGAGAGACTTACAGCGTACTCCGTAAAGAGAGACCACTTGGTCACGCTTACAGCGGAAGGCTTAGAAGGGTGAGAAGGAAGGGATGTCGACGGACGGAGCAGCGAATTGGTGCAAGATGGTTGGACAAGAAAGGGGAAGGCCGAACGGTCTCCAGACTTGCCAGCCCGGGACGACCCCGGGTCAAACCTTCTCACCGACAGGGTTGGGGGGTATTGGAATCACAGGTATCACAAGTATCACAGACTCTCATTCTCACGCACCAGTCACCACTGCCACTGGTAACGGGAAGGGAAGGGAGGCTAGCGAGTGGTGAGAGCCATGTCAGGCGGAGTCGAAAAAGACGCGTGGCCGTGCTTGCATCTTGCCCTTCTAAGCATCCCGTCCCCTTTATTTTGCGGTGCTCTGCCCTTTTTTCTGCAGTTTGCGTGGGCCGGTAGCCGTAGGTCCGTAGCCTGTAAGGAAAGACAACCCAGCCCCCCTTGCTCCCACATTCCCTCTCTCTCACACAGTCTACGGTAGTATGGAGAGTGAGAGTCACACTTGCACTCTGAGTACTCGGAGAAGGAAGAGCGCACAATAGTCGTGTGAGCGTCTCCCGCACCGCGGCTGCGCAGAAGAAGAGGGCGGTGCGGGTTGCGGTTGCGGTCGTGCGGTTGCGCTGCAGCAGCTGGGCAGGGGTAAAAATGGCTGCATGTGAAACGCGAGCATCAATGTAACCCCCGACCAACAGCGAACCCTTTTCTGTCTCAGCTAGCGGAATATCAGACACGTTGGATTCTGGAACCAACATCGCTACGGGCTCACGGAGTACCTCTCTCTACCTTGTAGGCTTCTCACCAACGCTCTGGTCAGCCAGGCGCCCTCGCTGCCACACCCGACCTACGGAGATGACTTGCGACTCGAGGCCAGCCGAGGAGGTGTTCTTCGTCGCATTCCCTGATAAAATCAGACATCCTCTCGGTCCGAGCCAGCATGGGGTAAGACGACGAACGCAGCAAGACACAAAAAAGGACTGTAACCTCTAAAATTGGTGATACTCGACACTCGACACCTACACCTCCTTCATACCTTTACCCTTCATCCAGGTCTCACGATACAGAACAAGTGCTGGCACCGGCAACACGGTGCCGCCAGAGCCGCATCACTGATCAGTCCTCTAGAAAAGACTCCTGCTTGCGTCTCTTGACGTCGGAGATCGTAGCATCACCAGCGCATCTTGGCTCATGGATTGCGCAACGCGCAACGCGGCGAGGAATCATCTGCCTCATAATCTTCACTTTGGTCTAGCCGACAGACCCGATCGCGTTGATGCGTTCGTCGCCACTCCGGGAATCCGGAAGAGCCCGTCCATCGAGCCTTGCCTTGCCTTGCCTTAGGCTCGAATCGTCAATCAGTCTCCCATGACGGTGTAATAAGGCAATGGCAGGAACGGGAATTCGAAAGTGAACGTGAATGAGCTAAAAAGGAAGTGCCCGTCA